CAGGTTTCTTAAAGATTCTTGGAGATGATGTTGCTACTACTGGTTTTGCAGCCATTTGGATGGCTTTATTTGGATCTTCCAAGGAATATATTTCGGAAATATGGTCTAAGGTAGCTGAAATTATTGTATTGATTGATCTAATGTTGATTGGTTTGTATCTCTGTTTAAAATTGCGCAATAAGAGGCGTGCCTTGAGGCGCGCCTTTGCGCAATTTGACCCAAAACCGCCTCGAGGCTTACGCAATTCCTCTCCTGGCTGAGGCGTACACCTCACTTGGACTGAGGCGCGCCTCAGAGGCGCAATTGCACAATTCTGGCAAAGGTGTACGCCTCATAGAAACGGCCCCACCCACTTAAAATGAAGACTTTTTCTTCCTTAATCCCGCACGGCTCCCAGTTATCCTGAAACTTTCCTTCCCGCAGGCTGTGTTCACGAAACAGAGAGCTTCCCGCACCCATCGGCTTCCCTTCCCGCCGCCTCTCCCGCCGGCACCGCCTCTCCGGCGAAGTTGAAGGTTTGGCCGCCCTCTAGGAGTGCTCCACAATCGATTTTAGGTATTTTTTTGTAGTTTAGGGTTAGATTTTTCAAGTGAAAGAAATTCTAGGGTTTTTGATTTTTTTGTGTGTTTTTTGATTTTTGCTTTAGGAAACATGGTTAGAGGCAAAGAAAAGGCGAATAAGTCATTGGGACATGATTTTATTGCATATATTATCTTACTTTCCACTAATTTCATATATCATTTAGATGTTTTTATTGTAATATAGAATATTACTATTATTTACCTGCTAAAACCCTTAATTTCTCATTTACGCAATTCTGTGTTCGTGAGGCTTACGCGTCAGACCGCCTCGAGGCTTACGCCTCGCCTCACGGACGAAAACCGCCTCGAGGCTTAATTATGCAGTTTTAAATCTTGGTTTGTATATAGAAGTTTGTTTTGATCTTCATGCAGTTATTTTGATGGTTTTGAGTGGATCTTCTAAGGGAGATAGTTCGGAAAAATGCTATGGTGAAGCCAGAATTATTGAAGTGTCCTATTGTGGTTTGGTTCGTTTATGGAAAGTTGTTTGGATCATCAAAGAAGTATTGGAGCTTGCTTTTGGTGGGAGCTAATCTTATCAAGGCTTAAGATGAATTCTTCTTTGTTCTTTGAAGTACAAGTCTTATTGGTTAAAGGCTTGAAGTGTTTGAATTTTACTGGTTTTTCTCTTGCCAGTGTGATGAGGGTGGTGATGATTATCAGTTCGTATGGCTTTGGCAATGATGAGGCCGATTATTGGCCTCTTGAGGTGGGTGTCGGTGTTATTGCTTCATCGACTTTGCTTTGTTCATCCATGGAGGTTGTTATTGGATGCATTGAGGTTTCAGCGGATTCATCTCTTGATTGAAGCTCGTTGGCCTCTAAGGATGTTGAAGACGATCATTTTGATGTTTTGGTAGTTGTTTTAGTTGTTCTTTTCCTTATTGTAGTTTGTTGTTTTTTTGGTTTTCTTGTAGGATTGTGTCCTTTTTGAAATTATTGTAATGAAATGCGGGATTTTTACTGTGTTTTATTTTTATCTTTTTGGAACTCTGGGATATTAACCAACCTTTTAAGTTGTTTTAATATTTGCTGTCCCCATCACCCCAATGGATTTAAAATGGAATTTAGTAGATCGCATATCCATTATGATAGTTTTAAAAGGCTTGTCTTTTCTTTCTTGTTTGTATTAGTTATTTCTTTTTTTAATGCAATTTGCATTTCTTCAAATATATATATGGTTTGGTGTTTGCAATTAATAATTTTATGTTAAAAGAATACAAAGTTTATGATATATAATATTAAAAAGTTATATTTAACTTTAACTGTTGACCTCTACTAAAAAAAAAAAAAAAAAAAAAAAAAAAAAAAAAAAAAAAAAATCAAATCAAAATATATGCATACCTACACACTAGCGTAAATCCCACTCAAATCTTGCCGTCTACAGTGCCCCTTCCCTTACAATTCGTCGCTGAACCATCGCTTCACATGATTGACTCCTGCACTTGTCGCCTACTCGCACATGCTAATAAAACGAAGACGAGAAACTCTTGTTTCGACATTTCTTCCTCATGCTCGAGCTCCCGAACTTCCAATCCCTCAGCTCGGTTCCGAACCCTTCAGTCTTCTTCAACTTCAACGACATCATCGTCGACGCTCTTTTTGCTAAGCTATAAATTTGCCTAAAACTCAAAAGTTCTAAACCCCGTATTCTGCGCTCGCGACATGCCGGGGGACCACCCATACATGCATTTTTCTAGTGTGGTAGGAGCAACTCTAAGTACCTGTGTATATGCCGTCATGCCTGCAAGGAAAGAATTGTGCATTTCAAACAGGTACCCCTAAAGACCCATACATGCCTCTCTCTTGCGTGGTGAGATTGAAGATCATGACCGCAGTGTTACCTGACACTTACCATACATGCTTTTCTCTAGCATCTTGGAAGGCCCTGCTCTCAAAATTTCCCCTAAATAGAGGAGATGTTGGGAGGCTGCCAAAATTCAGGTTAGAAACACACAGAACTTAAGCAAAACATAGGGGACCAAAACTTATACAAAATGCAGGGAACTTGATATTAGAAAAATACACAGGGAACATAACTCAAATTGAACTACAGGGAACTGGACTTGAATGAACACCTTAAATAAAATTATAACTCGCAAAAGAACAAAAAGCAAGCATGAATAAACAAAGAAAGAATTTGTAGCTTTCAACATGACTTGCTCACGAGAAATGATATTTAGAGGATTGCATAATTTGCTTGCAAACAGATGTACAAAATCTCTTAGTAATTTTATAATTTCATACAAATGATGACAGTTGAGGTGTAATGCTCACTTCAGTCACACAAACAAATACAGTAATCAATACATGCAGCAACAGTAGATGTTTTGTAAGGATGACAGGTCCTCTATGAACACATATATACTTAGTGTGTCTGTTAATAATTTTTTTACCACTCAACATTTGGTTCCATAAGTGTGGAAAAACTATTGTACATAATGATATTTCAATAGAGGTGTGGAAATGCTTAGTAGATAAAGGGATTTCTTAGCTTACTAACTTTTGAATATTATTTTGAAGACTAAAATGATATTAGATGAGTGTAAAAGCATGTTAGTTCCTATTTTTTAGAATAAAGATAATGCGCAAGAGTGTGCCAATTATAGAGGACTTTAGTCAATGTGTCATATATTAAAACTATGGGAGATATAGAGTAATTGAGCATGGGTTACGATGTGAAAAGAATGTTTCTCAAAATCAATTTAGATTCATGTCAGATAGTTCTATTATGGAAGATATAGATTTATTTAGAGATTGATAGAGAAGTATAGAGAGAATAAGGATGATCTTCATATGATATTTATCGATTTAGAGAAAGCATATGATGAAGTTCAAAGAGAAGTGCTCTGGAGAGTTCTATAATAGAAATGAGTTAATAATGTTTAAATTCAAGTTATTAAGGATATGTATATAGGAGTTGTTACTTCTGTTCAAACACAAGGTGGTTTGACTATGTATTTTACTATTTCAGTTGGATTACATCAAGGATCATCCTTAAGCTCATATCTTTTCTTTAGTGATGAATGTTCTTTGTTGACATTTCCAAAAGAGGATGTGCCCTAGTGTATGTTTTTTGTTGATGATTTTTTTCTTGTTGATAAGACTAGAGAGGGAGTTGAAGGAAAACTTGAATTATATAGGTCAACTTTAGAGCTAATGTTTTTTGTTTGAGTCGATTTAAAATAAAGTATATGGAGTGTAATTTTAGTAGAAAAGATCTAGTGGGGGATTATGACTTTTGGCGATCAAGTCATTAAAAGGTTACACATTTTAGATATCTTCGGTCTATAATTCAAAGTGATGGTGAAATTGATGGGGATATTAGTAGTAGAATTCAAGTTCGATGGTTGAAATGGAGGAATGCATTGGGTCTATTGTGTGATTGAAAAGTGCCCCTCAATCTTAAGGAAAAATTTTGTAAGATGCTGGTGAGACATGAAATGGTTTATTGCACTAAATGTTGGTCATTAAAAGAGAAGCAGAAAATAAAGTTTTCTAGAGATGATGATGCTTAGGTGGATGATTAGCTTTACTCTTAGTGATAAAATAAGAAATGTGCATATATGTGAAAAGGTTGGAGTAGCTCCAATGGTGGAGAAAATTAGAGAGTTGCCTTAGATGGGTTGGGTATAAAACATTAATCTTTTGATGTTTTGGTTAGGAGAGTAGATGTATTAGATATGACTTATGTTAAAAAAGGTAGAGGTAGAACTAAAAACACTTGGTTAGAAAGTATTGGAAATGATTTTTTTTATTAGATTTAAATGAGAATTTTACTTTTAATAGGATATAATGAGAAAAAGGATTCATGTAGTGGGATAAAGGCTTAATGTTGTTTTTGTTGTTGTCAGCATTCGGTTCCGTACAATATAATTAACCTTATTATAATCTCCTAAAATTATATTTTAGCCCCCAAAATATTCTCTTTTCTCATAATTACTTCTATGACATTTCTTTATTTTCACAATACATCTTTTACTCTAGAAGTTATATTTTCATTTGTATTTTGTTTTCTTTCATAATTGATCAAATATACTTATATTTATCTCACATAAGTAACTTTTTCCTTCTAATAATATTTATTGATAATTTTTAATATCATACCCAGGGAAACTATACATCATATACTTAATTTTGTTCTATTAATTCCTAATTCCTTTAGCTTTTATCTGCGCTCCACATGGTACTTTTAAACTCATTAAATTTTAGTTGATTTTTATATTTGATGTTCTTATGAGGGTATTTACTGATTTACCGATTTTTTGTTAAGGAAGCCGATCTAGAAAACCCTGTTACTAAACTTAACATCATCGTGCATGAATTTATCCAGAATTAAATTTTGATACGATAATTGCTATTTTTGTATTATTTTTATCCTCAATATCCGTTGGCTAATTTTTTTTTTTTTTTTTGCAGCTAGTAATCATCAAAAGAAAGTTCTTATAATAGGTAAGAAACTATTTCCTTGCAGAATTATGCTTATTTGATGATAAAAAAAATTAAATGTTCTATTTCAATTTATTTGTGTACTATTATTATTGTGGTAGTTTTCATGTTGGATTTTCTAGAAAATCACTTTCTCCGAACATTCCTTATTTATGCTAAACTTCAAAATAAAATGTCTTATTTTATTGATGTGACTGATGTTTTCTAATAGTATTCCTGAGTTGCTTTCATGTTTTAGAATGCGGCTTTAAATCTATTGGTTATATTCTCATCTATATCTATATTTCTCTGTATAATAGATTCAATATACTTAAAATTATAATATTTGATATCACTTTATATTTTAATAATATTAATTAATATTTGTCAATATCACACCCATAAAAATTGCTTAATATATATATTTTTTCCTGCTCTTTTTTCTACTCTAGGCTTTTCATCTCTTAAACATTTACCCCAAATAAAAAGCTTTTAAACTTATTAGATTCTAATTAATTCATACACTTGGTGTCCTTATTATGCTACAGTTTTTTTTATAAGGAATCATTTCTAGAAAACCTCGTACAAAATTTTTCAGCTTTAAGCCCATATCTTTTTGCTTTAGTCATGGATGTTCTCACTAGACTTTTGCAAGAGAATGTATCTTGGTGTATGCTTTTTGCTTATGATATTCTTCTTGTTGATAAGACTAGAGAGGGAGTTGACGGTAAACTTGAATTATGAATGTTTTGTTTGAGTAGATCTAAAATTGAATATATGGAGTGTAATTTTAGTAGCAGTAGACCTAGTGAGGGGATTGTGACTTTGGGCGATTAAGTCATTAATAAGAGTACACATTTTAGATATCTTGGATATATTTTTCATAGTGATGGTGAAATAGATGGGAATATATCAGCAGAATTCAAGTTGGATGGTTGAAGTGGAGGAATGCATCGAGCTTGTTGCGCGATAGAAAAGTCTCCCCTCAAACTTAAGGAAAAATTCTATAAGATGGTGGTGAGACCTGCAATGCTTTATGGTACTGAATGTTGTTCATTAAAAGAGAAGCATAATACTAAGTTAAGTGTTGCAGAGATGAGGATGCTTAGGTGGATGTTAACCTGCCGTATAAAACAAAAAAAAAATATTAAAATCCACGTACCTGTCCGGCGCCGAATTCAGCACGTCGTCGCCCACGACCTCGCACGATCGGATGTCCCTCTACGTCGTGTTAACGACTCATTCTCTCGCTCTTTCTCT